GTGTTCTCAGTTGCTTGTCTTCGTGAAATTTATTCATTTTAATGAAATTTTAATGAGAAGACAAAACTTTTTTTTGAGACTGCAGGATTCAAGTGAAAACAAAAAGGTCAAGGGGTTTGTACTCAGAGTTTCTTACAGGCATCTCTTCGGGGGGAGGGGGGAGGCCCATCCCCCCCCCGAAGAAAGTCTACCGCCCCCCGAACGAAATGGAATTTAAATAGAAAATATATAGTTTTGACAGTGTCCGCCCCCCCCCTCGGAAATTGTTGTCCGCCCCCCCTCCCCCCCCCGAAAATTTCAAGTGCACCCCGGGGAAAAAAGTCTGGAAGAAACACTGTTTGTACTGATGGTGCACCATCTATAACCAATTATTCCCGATGAACTACAAGATGAATTCTTAGATTTGTAGTATAAAATTGGTAAATTTTAAAAATTATTTTACCCCCACTACTTCGTCACACATCGTCACAAAAAGCAAGACCCCAAACCTTCACCCCCCCCCCCCCCCCATCAGCAGTTTTTGATTTTTAAAACATCGATTGCTTTTTACAAAATTAATTTACTGACCTCAGTTAAAAATATATTAATCAATAGCTATTACAATTTACGAAAACGGTCCTTTAAAATCAGCTAAAATTCTTTTCCTAACATTACTTTTTAAAATGTAAAAATAATTTAAAGGTGACACAAATCCTAGTGACGCCATTGAATGCCGTTATTATTGAAAGTGCTGAAAGATGCAGTTTACTTTTAAACTGGAGGAGGACACCAGGACAGTGGTTATTTATAAAAGACGTCATGCTTTTTTTTAAGTGCATGCCTACTTCTTGTTTTAACTATACTTTCATATTATAATTATATAATTTAATGTAAAAATCGAAAAAACAAAATTTAATTTGAGCTCTTTTGTTTATGAAAATCTTTAAAACTACAAGACATATACCACAATGCAAATGCTTTTCCTGAATTCCTAAATCAAGTTTGTTGACATCGGCAACCAGTAACGGAACGATAGAGATTAGTACTAAAATTAATTGAACACACTAATTCAAACAAGATGTATGTATTTGATGTTATTAAATTTCTACTAGTTTAACGTAACAGATTAGGGCACTTCTTGGCTTGAGTAATAAGTACGCCTAGCACTAAAAGTAGCTAGCCCTACGACGGCCTACTTGCTTGCTGCTCACTGCTGGTCACCGCTGAGAGCTTGGCTAGGGTCACTAGGGAAAACTCTTGAATCCTGCCTGTTTCAGTTTGTCAGTGTGATCATAAGTATTAGGCATTGGCCTTCTGAACTGTATCTGATTCAGAAGCGAATTGAACATTGACGAAATACTTTCTAAGAATTAGAATGTAAGTTGAAATGAAAAAGCAGTTCACTGGAAATCAGCTGGTAAACAACCACCTACCATAGTGTGCAGATGACTGAAATTTTGTACTGTAGACTTGTCCGCTACATGTAGATCATTGATCAATGCTGCTGACATTGAACAGCACCTTGCATCTTTACGTTTTATTTTAATTTTAGCATTATTAGTTATAGCTGCCGCCAACACTATTTTGATATTTTGTAGCTGCTTTCTCCGATATGTTGGTTGGTCATCTGCAGATCTCTCCCCCTTCCCCTACACAATGTTGTGACACTATTATTTCCGAATATTTCATTCTCATGTCCTGCCACCAGTAATTGTTATCATGTTGTCAATTGTTGTTGCTGCCATTTTGTTTTAGGCCTAAAATTTACTCAGTTAATAAAAACAACCAGTAAAAACAAATTTAAAACTACTGGGCATAAGCATCCCCGTCCTGCTGATGTTGATCTAGCAGGCTATGCTAATAAGATGCTGTATTAAAATTGGGAGACACAATAAAAAAAATTGATATTAAAATCTAAAGTTTATTTATTTTTTATTTTTGTAGGAGCCAGCGGCCCCCAACTAGTCTCAATAGACCAATCACTAGTAGACCAATTGGCACAGGTAAATGTGATCACTAAATTCACTAGCTGCGTTTTAAAATGTTCTTTTCTTTACGGCAATTTCATTTTTATTCCTGGGGTTTTTAAATTATCATCAGGGCAATACAGTTTTTTATTGCTTTTGTAGTTTACCTATACTTCTATTTGGGTAAAATAATTTGATAAAAGGTCAGATTTAGTGCTATGGTCACGGGAGTCATTCCAGCAAAGAATAGCTTCCCTACACCATTCCAGTGATTACAGAAGCTGGTCTAACTTTTAATCCATTCATTTTTATAAATCACCAGCCATGGGTCGACAGCCTGGAACAGCAACACGTTTAACCACAGCAAAGGTAGGTCACTTTTTAAAATTTTTTTACATAGTTACTTGACAGCTTCTGGACCTTAATATTTAATACTCTTATGTTCATTGACATTTTCATCTTAATAGCTTATGTTTAAATACAAAACTAAATTCTTTAAACAGAATCCTACCACGGCAAGGCCAGGAAGTAGAGGAGGCCAAGTAGTGGGTGGAATAGGTAAATATTTTCTGGGAATATTTGTGTTTTTAAATATTTTTTTTCTATTTGTACAATCATTACAGAACCTGCTATTATTTCATACATTCTTTTAAACCTTTAATAAAATGCTTAAAACACAAGGATTTTGAAAGCTGTCTTTGACTTTCAAATACATGTTTCAGCTCTGAATGCACAGGTGAATGTTGTAGATCGGCCCACAACCCAACAAGGCTTGGGAGGGATGAAGACAGCAGCTAGAGGTAGCATTATAAGATATTTTTTTATTCTATTTTGTTTTAATTTTGACAACAGAAGATCAAGCAATTGTTTTTGAAAAAATGACTTTTTTTTTAGGTGGACGACAAGTTCAAGATAAAAGCTATTACCTTGGTCTTGTGAGGTAAGTTTTTAAAATTATTTCTGTCTTGTTTGTTTTTTATTGCTTTTTTTAAAATCTGCATATAAATATCCTTTTTCAATAAAAAATATTAACTAACATAAACATTTCTAAACAAAATAAACACACCCTGACGAGTAGCCTAACATAAAAATTAAATTCTTATCGCAGGAGTAAGATTAATGAGCTACATGCAGAGAACACAAAGCTAAACAATGAAATTCAAAATGCCAGTGAAGAAAATTCCAGTTTTCTTTCCTATGAAAAAAGGTAGGCTGTGTTCTTTATTGAGTTAAAATGTCTAATGTTTTAAGTCTAAAACTCAAACATTCATCAGCCACTACCTACTGTAAATTCCAATTTAATTCCAATTTCTAAACAGGGCTGAAGGGCTTGCCTCTGAGATTCGTGACTTACAAGGAGAGCTTGGTGACTACAACACTGTAGGCTACATTTTTTAAACATGCTTATTCTAGTTGTAGTTCAACATACTATGTGTTTATTCTGTACTATAATACTTTAAAAAGTGAGATATTTTGTTAACAATTAGCTAATGTTTTTTTCACAAGCTAAACATAATGTTATTTTCTATCCAATTTAAAATAGTTCATTACTTTTGTTGATGTTCTTTTCTTCTTCTTCTTCTTCGTTCTTAATTATTAGTGTTGAAGGGGATCGAGATTTTTCTGCCAGTGGGTTTGAAATCGAGATTTTGTTCGAATTTATCAACCATGAGCTTTTTGCCGACTCGACCACGCCTCCAACACAATTAAGCGTTACGCGTCAACTGGTTATGCACCATTGTGGCCATTGACTCCGATCTCAGCCTGCTTTTCTTTTTGGATTTGTTTCCATAGCCTTTGTCCAACCAAGAACAAACTACAAGGCAGCAGTTGTTTAATTTTGGAGTTGTCTCTCCTAGAAGAGTGGCTGTCCCCGGCCAACGAGTCTCATCTGCCCGAGGGTTCGAACTCGAGACTTTTCGGTTTAGCAACCATGAGCTTTACCGACTCGACCACGTCGACCCTCTGATGTTCTTTTACTTATAGTAACTTTACAAAGTGCCATACAAGTTTATTTCGGTTCAGATAAACAAAAGTGAATTTTTTTGTTTAACTGAACTAATAAATCTCTCATTTTAAAGATCAATTATAGTTAAATAAATAGCCAGCGTTTTTTTATTTGTGTGTTGATTCTTGCATACCAATAGAATGAAATTGTAATTTCAGCTGGTTGATAAACTAACCACAGATGAAGATATTCAAGATGTTGAGTTTGATTGTGAAAATGTGAGTTGAAGTTTTTTACTGCATCTCTGTAATATATCATGTTTGGTAAAGTGTCCTTCCCTCACTCATCAGCTTAGGTACTTGGTTCGTTATAGAGAGAATACACTGCACCAAACAATTCATTCAAAATTTTCAGCTAATACACTATGTTCTTAATGTAAATGCTACTATAAATTCATAGATTATATGTAAAAGGCCTCAGCCGACCCTCATCTTGTGAAAGATAAAATAGTTTTGTAATTTAGAAGTATATTCTATTTATTGCTACATTATTAACTTGTTATTTTTGTATTAGTTGAGAACAGAAAATGACAGAAATGCTAAAAGGATGGAGGATGGCTTTGAAATAAAGAAACAGTAAGCTGTGGTCTTGGATTTATTAAAATGACATTTTATCTTATAATTATTTTTCTACTTTATATTTTTTTAAATAAGTGATCAACATAGCTAATCAGTTAGTAAAGAAATTTGCGTTATGTTGTAAACGACAAAACTGTGCACATTAATTTCACCTGTGTGTAGTCACCTGTCTCTTATTATCTTCTAGGCGCGAGGACCAGATCCAGATGTTGGAGACTGAGTTAGATCAGGAGAAAAGAATGGCAGACAACCTGGTTAATGATATGGTCAGTGGTCATTCATATGATAAGTGGTCATCACTTGGGGATGACTAGCCTACTTTTTAAATACCTAATAATTTTGATTATTCCAAACTTTTTATTTTAAAATACATAAACGTCAGCCATTTGTCAATATTATTTTAAACGTACATATGTTTTTGCTTTCTATTTTAAACATTGATAAATACAATAGTTTCTAAATATTGGACTGTACTACTAAAATCATTCAAAAAATAATAGCAGCTTAAAATGTTAAATTATTGATGATTTCTACTTGAGATGTTTTAAAAAACCTATCACACCGAGATCTTTTAAAAAACAGATTAATAGCACTTGGCCAGTGTCTATGAATTAAAATGTACTTTAGTTAAATTATGTTTGACATTCTGGGGTGAATGACCTTGCAGGAGTCTGGTGAGAGACAGCGCTACATGCAGCTGAAACACCTGAATGAACACCTGTTGAAACAGCTGGAGAATGGTCAGCAGGAACTGGACATGCTCAACTCCAAGATAGAGAACCTACAAGAGGTGAGTTAGACTAAAACAACCTGAGAATGTTGTGTAGAGAACCTACAAGAGGTGAGTTGGATGAAAACAACCTGAGAATGTTGTGTAGAGAACCTACAAGAGGTGAGTTGGATGAAAACAACCTGAGAATGTTGTGTAGAGAACCTACAAGAGGTGAGTTGGATGAAAACAACCTGAGAATGTTGTGTAGAGAACCTACAAGAGGTGAGTTGGATGAAAACAACCTGAGAATGTTGTGTAGAGAACCTACAAGAGGTGAGTTGGATGAAAACAACCTGAGAATGTTGTGTAGAGAACCTACAAGAGGTGAGTTGGATGAAAACAACCTGAGAATGTTGTGTAGAGAACCTACAAGAGGTGAGTTGGATGAAAACAACCTGAGAATGTTGTGTAGAGAACCTACAAGAGGTGAGTTAGACTAAAACAACCTGAGAATGTTGTGTAGAGAACCTACAAGAGGTGAGTTGGATGAAAACAACCTGAGAATGTTGTGTAGAGAACCTACAAGAGGTGAGTTGGATGAAAACAACCTGAGAATGTTGTGTAGAGAACCTACAAGAGGTGAGTTGGATGAAAACAACCTGAGAATGTTGTGTAGAGAACCTACAAGAGGTGAGTTGGATGAAAACAACCTGAGAATGTTGTGTAGAGAACCTACAAGAGGTGAGTTGGATGAAAACAACCTGAGAATGTTGTGTAGAGAACCTACAAGAGGTGAGTTGGATGAAAACAACCTGAGAATGTTGTGTAGAGAACCTACAAGAGGTGAGTTGGATGAAAACAACCCCAGAATGCTGTAATATAGAGAACCTACAAGAGGTGAGTTGGATGAAAACATCATGAGAATGCTGTGTGAATCAGGAGCAATCAATGACTTGAAGGCTTGTATACAAGATCATAGACTGACTTGACAGTTTATACACATGAAAATTGATTGATTTTTAACTTAATTAAACAGTTGAAAAAAAAATATTTAAACTATTTAAAACTAATTATTTCAGGAACTCTCTTTGTCTCAAGTCAAACAAGATGCAGGTGTGTAAAAATATATTCTACAAAAATTTTTTCTTTTTGTGAAATTTGAAATTATCCTTTTTTATTTTATTTACTTTTTAATTAGTTAGCAATATAACTTTTTGGTTGTGTCCTCTGATTTTTCAATCCACCAGTGCGTTTAATTAAAGACCGTAAACCTTTCAATTGAAATTTTTGTTATTTCTATGTGTAAAGTTGAATATTTTTATCTGGCTATATCGAATTCTTAAATCTCTTGTACATATGATCAAATTTGTATTATAAAGTAATTTTTGTATAATCCGTTTTTGTTTGTTTCAGTTTGCTTGTATATTTTTTTAGTTTAATTACATCTGTATGATTAAAATTTGTTTCATTACATCTGTATGATCAAAATTTGTTTAATTACATCTGTATGATTAATTTTTTGTTTCAGTACGTCTGTATGTTGTTTTTTTTTGTTTTAGTAAATCTGTATGTTTCTTTTTTTTTTCAGTACGTCTGTATGTCCTTTTTTTGTTTCAGTACGTCTGTATGTTTGTTTTTCTGTTTTAGTACATCAGCATAATAAATTTTTTTTTGTTTCAGTACATTTGTAGGTCAATTTTTTTTGTCAGTATTTCTGTATGTTGTATATTTGTTTCAGTACGCCTGTATGATCAGATCCATGAGCTGGAGGTAAAGAGAGATGCTTTGATAGAGGAGGCAAAGACAAGAGGCTCTCCAGCTGAGGAGAGAGAAAAACTCCTGAAACAGGTCAAGGAAGACAATCAGGAAATAGCTAGCATGGAGAGACAGTGAGTTCTGTTGACTGTTGGGTGGAGACTCGTTTAAACTGTTGGGTCAAGTTTTATTTGGTGATGTTGATATAATTTATAGATCAAAACATATTTGACATCAGGGACACACCTTATATACTAGGGATACATCATAATCATCTTGAGACACCTTGTACAGCTGGTACACTTGATACACCATGTACACAGAACTGATACATTTTATACACACTGAATACACCTTGTACAACAGGGATAACAAGACATATCCTACACACTGGACACACCTTGTACACCAGGGATAACAAGACATATCCTACACACTGGACACACCTTGTACACCAGGGATAACAAGACACATCCTACACACTGGACACCAGGTACACACTTGACACTCCAGGGACAGACCTGACACATCATCTAAACACCTTGTTACACCTTTAGCCTTTTCTCCCCAGAACAAGAGAGATCCAAGAGAAGATTGACCAGATGCAGGAAGACATCCAGCAGTTAGACCAGGACATTGAGGAGAACCAGGGTAAGCTCCAGGTTAAGCTCATACTTGTGAGGGTTTATTTTATAAACTAGTTAGGTGATATTAAACACCAGGACATTGAGGAGAACCAGGGTAAGCTCCAACTTAAGCTCCAGGTTAAGCTCATACTTGTGAGGGTTTATTTTATAAACTAGTTAGGTGATATTAAACACCAGGACATTGAGGAGAACCAGGGTAAGCTCCAACTTAAGCTCCAGGTTAAGCTCATACTTGTGAGGGTTTATTTTATAAACTAGTTAGGTGATATTAAACACCAGGACATTGAGGAGAACCAGGGTAAGCTCCAAGTTAGGCTCAAACTTGTGGGTTTTTTTTTTATAAATTAGTCAGGTGATATTAAACACCAGGACATTGAGGAGAACCAGGGTAAGGTTTTAAGTTAGGCTCAGACTTGTGAGGTTTTTTTTTTATAAACTAGTTAGGACAAATAGGAGAACCAGGGTAAGCTCCAGTGAGGTTTTTTTTATAAATTAGTCAGCTGATATTAAACACCTGGATGGTGAGGTTACGTGGATTACTATTGCTCATTTAAAAGTTTTGAAAATGATTTTTTCTGTGTCAGGTGAAAGGAACCAGAAATACAAGGAACTTAAAAAAAGAGAAGAGAGTATGGATGGTAAGTAAGCCTATCTTTTGTTTTGTTGCACCATATTATTCCAACTTTTACATTTACCTCTTTTCATGATATCAATTTGTATTCGTTTATTTCCACCTCTAATTTTTCAGACTTTTTGAACACCTTTGATGGTAACAAATCTGAAGAAATGGTAAGCTATAGGCTTAAGTTTTATAAAAATTCTTGTTAGCTATTTCACCTAACCTTAACAATGTATATTACCTGTTATCACAGTGGTTGTTTTCATCAGTACTGTTAAGGTAGACAGTAACTGAGCAAAATTGGGATTTTCCACACAAATGTCCAGGCAGTGCTGCTCTATGGCTCGGTGACTTGGAGGGTTACGAAGACAAATACTGATAAGCTACAGGCATTCGTAAACAAATGCTTACGACATATACTTAAAATAAGATGGCCAGACAAAATATCAAACAAAGACCTGTGGCGAACTTTAAAGCAACAGCCAATAGAGACAGATATCAAAGCCTGTAAATGGGGATGGATCGGACACACATTAAGAAAAGAAAAAGAAAACATCGCAAAACATGCTTTGGAATGGAATCCCCAGGGAAAAAGGAGGGTGGGCCGGCCAAGGAAGACATGGAGAAGAACGTTTGAAGAAGAGGCGAAAATAGTTGGGCTCACATGAGCACAGATAAAGGGGGCAGCCCAAAACCGAGTCCGATGGAGATGTGTGGTTGCAGCCCTTTGCTCCCAAGGGGCCACAAAGGAATGATGATGACGATGTAACTGAGGTGTTTAAACTCTCATCAGTGAGGGTTCTAGCTACAGTTTCTGTGATTGTTCTGTGTTCAGTGGGGTTAATGTCCTATGTAAAAGTTACATTTGACCATTTTCAATCATTTAATTGATAATTAACCTGCTGTCCAATTAGAACATGGGCACCAACAAGAGACATCCAGACAACTGAGCTGGTTTGTCCAACTGTCCTCAGTGGAGACCTATCTTGCTCATGTCAACTCCATGTCACCTAATTAGTAATCAACCTGCTGTCTAATTAAGACTTATGCCACCGACAAGAGACTAGTTTCTCTAACTGTCCTCAAGTATAACCTAACTTGTTTAATTCAACTTCCATGTCACTCCTCCAGGTTTGGTCTAACTCTTTCTTATGCTGTGTGTATGACATGTTTATCACTATTTTATTCTGAATTTTTTTTTTTTTGACAGATGAAAATCTCCCAGCTGGAACGAGCTGTTGTTACCTTGTTGGAGAATATGAGTAGGGTAAGTAGAACATTCTCATACACCTGGGGTAGGTAGAACATTCTCATAGGTCACCAGCTGATTTATGACATGTGGTGCATTGTTTCAGTAGACCTACAAATCAAAACTAGAACATTTTTTGTGATATTTTAAATCAGTTGTTTGTCACTGTTAAAATGTGTGTTGTTGCAGAACATGGGACGATTTACCCACCTTCCCACCCCTAAAGAGCTGATGTCCTTGAAAGCTGACCTCCAGTTTAAGGAAGATGAGAGGCAAAAATCTGAAAGGACAACAATTGGGCTGGCATCAGGTAAAGTTCTCACCTGTCTCTCACCTGCTTGTGTGTCAGGTGTTTTTTACCTGTTGCCTGCCTGTAAGTCTGATGTCTCTTACCACTTGTCCACCCGTCTCTCACCTGCTTGTAAGTCAGGTGTTTTTTACCTGTTGCCTGCCTGTAAGTCTGATGTCTCTTACCACTTGTCCACCCGTCTCTCACCTGCTTGTAAGTCAGGTGTTTTTTACCTGTTGCCTGCCTGTAAGTCTGATGTCTCTTACCACTTGTCCATCCGTCTCTCACCTGCTTGTAAGTCAGGTGTTTTTTACCTGTTGCCTGCCTGTAAGTCTGATGTCTCTTACCACTTGTCACCTGTCTCTCACCTGCTTGTAAGTCAGGTGTATTTTACCTGTTGCCTGCCTGTAAGTCTGATGTCTCTTACCACTTGTCACCTGTCTCTCACCTGCTTGTAAGTCAGGTGTATTTTACCTGTTGCCTACCTGAAGTCAGATGTCTCTAACCACTTGTCCACCCTGATCTCACCTGTCTGTCACCTGTCTGTCGCCTGCTTGTAAGAAATGTCCTCCTCCCCCAGAGCGTGAGAAGCTGCAGCATGACCTCCAGAAGATGGAACAGTTTGAAGAAAAGCTCAACGAAGAGCTGGTGGTGCTGAGAGAGAAGGTAGTGGAGATGGAGAAGTCACTTGATGTTTACTCCGACCTGGACAAACTCAAAGTTGATTCAGAGGCTAAAAAACAGGTTAGATTAGGAAAGTTGATTCTGAGGCTAAAAAACAGGTTAGATAAGGGAAGTTGATTCTGAGGCTAAAAAACGGGTTAGATAAGGAAAGTTCATTCTGAGGCTAAGAAACAGGTTAGATAAGGAAAGTTGATTCTGAGGCTAAAAGACAGATTAGATAAGGAAAGTTGATTCAGAGACTAAAAACAGGTTAGATAAGGACAGATTTCTTTAAGCAAGCAGGAAAATGAACCATTTAAAAAAAAATCCCTCACTGTTAAAGTAAACATGAATTTATATTAGTTTTTTTTTCACAGAAAAATTATCATGTATTTTTTAAACTCACTGTCACTAAGAAAACAATTATATTTGGTTTTAACCCTTTGAGCCCTGGCCTCCCTGACCTAATTTCTCCCAGGGCCAAACTAATTTTCACTTATCTGCTTCTAACTTTGCCAAAAACTTTTGAACCGTTGAGATAATCAAGCCAAATTTGGTATCCAGACAATGCAGCAAGATTCTGAAATTCTTTATTTTTTTACAATGTATGAACAGAACAATGTATATAAAACAAACACATAATTATTATCAACACGCCAAGGAGACTGAAGTTTTACAGCACCCCGTGCATCATAACGTACTTGAACAGTTTCCTGTAACTGTCAATTTCAATGTCACTGTGTTCAGTCTCAAACAGAGGCGTAGCAAAGGGGGGTGGGGGGGGGGGGGTGGGGTGGGGGTCGTCTCTGGTCTCTAATTCAACGTCACTATCATCACAATATAGACCAGGAATATTATTTTCTTCATCAGAATCAATAAGTAGTTTTACTTCTTTTGTTGATATTTCGGTCTTTTGCTTCATCTTTTGCACCAACTTTATGTGCTGAAGTCGATGGCTGTGGCTGAGCTTTTTGTTTCGGTGGCATTGCTACGAAATGAAAACACTTTCACTTTCACTTTTCCTAAAATCTATTTTTAGAATCAGAATCCCGCACTAAAAAGACATATGCGCAGTTTTAGTCAGTCTTCCGCTAATTATATTTAATTAGACAGTAAACCGGCCGCTAGGAATATGACGCTAGATAATCGGGCTGGAAAACCGGCTTTTCGGACATATATGCCTAATGTTGAAGGCGGGCTCAAAGGGTTGAGTGTATAATGAAAAATTATATAAGTATTAAAATGCTAATACTTATTTTTCATAACCCTTTTAGCAAATGCAACAGTTTGAAAATTTTGTTTCACTCTAGTATTTAGATCTTTTGAGTTATTTTGAATTTTTATTGTTTAAAATTTGAATTAATCGGAGTATCATTTTCTTGTTTAGAAACTGTTGGAAGACAGGACGATTCTCCTGAAGCGTCGAGACAACTTTAAGAAAATGATCCAGTCCTTGACTGTACGTTACGAGGGACTGAAATCACAGCTGAATGAAAATGAAACTTACTCACAGGTTTGATGTTTGTCTTGCATGTCTTAGTATTTTTCAGTATTTTTGATAAGTGTAGTTAGTACATATGAAAAAAATGATATATACATGTAGCTGGTTCCTATTTAAAAAATTGTATCAGTACATGTGGGTGGTTCATATTTTATTTTAAATTGTTTCAGTACATGTGGGTGGTTCATATTTTATTTTAAATTGTTTCAGTACATGTGGGTGGTTCATATTTTATTTTAAATTGTTTCAGTACATGTGGGCGGTTCATATTTTATTTTAAATTGTTTCAGTACATGTGGGTGGTTCATATTTTATTTTAAATTGTTTCAGTACATGTGGGTGGTTCATATTTTATTTTAAATTGTTTCAGTACATGTGGGTGGTTCATATTTTATTTTAAATTGTTTCAGTACATGTGGGTGGTTCATATTTTATTTTAAATTGTTTCAGTACATGTGGGTGGTTCATATTTTATTTTAAATTGTTTCAGTACATGTGGGTGGTTCATATTTTATTTTAAATTGTTTCAGTACATGTGGGTGGTTCATATTTTATTTTAAATTGTTTCAGTACATGTGGGTGGTTCATATTTTATTTTAAATTGTTTCAGTACATGTAGGTTGTTGATATTTGTTTTAAATCATGTTGGTACATGTAGTTAGTAAAAATTCCATTAGCTCTCTGGTCACAGTAACGGAAATATTTTTATTTTTTGTAGCTGATTAATCTGGAGAAGAAATGGCAGCACCATGAACAGAACAACTTTTCCATGCAGGAATGTATCCTTTATACACTTGGTTCTGCCACACTTAGATTAAAGCAACTCCTCTATTACCTTATTATAACCTACGAGCCGGCCCGCGGCATTACATACGCCGCTATTTAGTTGTTTTTTCTACTTTTCAGTAATTCATAATTTGTGAATTCGACAGTACCAATGCTGACACTGAAAATATTTCTTTAAAACACTATAAGTAGCACGTTAAGGACCATAACCCCCCCCCCCCCCCCCCAACGTTTAAAATCGTTTCAAACTAAATTATCTGCCCCTAATAGCCGTCACTAAACCCGACTCCACGAAGGTAAACATAGCGTGAACCACAGCTCACTAAGACCATTTAGGGGTGGGGATGGTAGGGAGCGCGTTTACAGCTTGTTTTCTAGCGTCTCCCAGAAGAGAATTATATATATAGATAGGGCTGGTAAGTAGGTCACCAACCAGTTCTATGGCTCTTGCAGGTTTTATTGAGCCGTAGAACTGGTAGGTGACCTACTTACCAGCCCTATACTGTGCATTTGTTTAAAATTTTATTGGGAGTCATAAATTTTTAAAAATGTAACTTTTAACCCCCACCCTTCACATATATAGAATGATGTGGATGTCCACAAAAATTTGATAGTTCTATGAAAAGTTACTTCCAGTATGCTTAAGTATGTGTACCTTGGATTTTAAAAAAATAAACTTTTTTTAACCATATTCCTCCATGTAGATTTCATAATTGAATGACAGGTGACCCCTTAGTGTCTTACACACCTTGTTTATTTATACTACAACCGACATTAAAATTTATTAAATAAAAACAAACAAGTCCGCCTTAACTAAAAAAATCAGTCATTTCTCAGCGGACAAAAGATTGTGACTTTGGTAAAATCACCAAACAGGTTTATCGAGTCATGGATGAGCTGAACGCATCCCTTCAGAGCCACCTTGTAACCCGCAAGACTTACTAGATCTCAAACGGCTAAATGTTCTAGATTTTTCTTCACGAATTTTGACCATCACTCAACATTCCCCACTTATTCAAAGATATTTATGTGGTGACAATGTACAACACTGTCCAATCTCATGTCACATATTGTAAAGTGTTGTTTTTAAACTAAACAAAGGTGTTGAATGTTTAGCTTACACTGTGTACATACATTTCCCATCACCTTCACATGATTGTTGTAAAAAAAAAATAGAGTTGCTATGTGTCTGGACACGTATCCGTCCATTCTTATCTGTGATACCAAATAGAAAAAATTCACATCACTTCTTCTGATGTATTTATTGTTCAAATTTTGTTTCACGTAAATAAATTGTCATTTGATGAATTCTTGTTTTTTTTTTAACATCTCCTTTTTGCTAACCAACAAACTCATAATCTTTAACTTGCATGCGTCAAAAAAAAAATCTATAACCAGAGAACTTCCAACAATCATGTAAACATTTTTATAAACTCTCTGTTTAAAAAATGACTAATAAACTGGTTACATTGATAGAAAACATAATAAAGATGTAATTGACTTTATGATTTTATTTACATTAACATGATAAAGTGTATTTCATTCAATCTCCATTGTTACACAAATCATAAAAGAAGTACATCAACTTTGTTGTTATTCTGGCAACACAAGAATAATCTCCCCTTGTTGGGGGATTCGTTTTGAACTATTCTGCATAGATATTCATCCAGACAAAACACCTTATTTTATTTAACAATACCTGTGTAAACAGCAAATAATTTGATTTAGAGAGATAGTTGATGGTCAGAAGCAGCACATGAACTATTTCTCTACATGATAAATATAAAATATTTGTTGGCCTATATCTAGGTAGACCTTGTGGTGTGTACCATTTGTGTATGCTATTACTGAACATAATCCTGAATAACCAATAAAAATTTAGTTGAATAATTATAGTCAAAATTATTGAAATAATTACTGAATTGCAAAATCTGTATAAATAAACTAAAACATAACAAATCTCATTTATGACAGAATTCTAATACCCAAGATTTCTCATCCATTTTAGTCCATCTTCTGTTTTCCCTGTAAACAGAAAGATGCAAATTAATTTTTTTTAAAACTATACTAAAATGTGTACACAGACAAAAACAAGATAATATTTAACAATTCCAAGTCTTAATGTGTAAAGATCCAGGCATTGCAAACATCCCTCTATGCATTCAATACAACTTGAACTATCCAACAAATAAAACGAAGTGAGGGGAAATAAAACAAATCCTGACCTCTGGGTTTGTACTCTAGTCCTATGTAGCCCTCATAGCCCAGTGCCTCAAGAACTGTGAACACATAGGGGTAGTTGATCTCTCCATCACTGTCTGGCTCCCCCCTGTCAGGAACCTGTGCTAGTTGGACATGACCTGGCGGAAGAATAAAATGTCTTCTAATGGTGTATTTTTCATAAGGATGTATTTCTGTTATAAAAAGTTGAAATTAAAATGATTCATTTCTGCAATTCAATGATTGTCTTGTACACTTGTTTCCTGTTAGTGTATAGTTAGAAATAATTGTTTCCTGCTACTGTCATTGACCATTTCTGAGTTATATAAACTGAAACACAATGGAGCTAAAAAAAAACACCAAAGAAGTTATTTTAAAACTTACCAACATAGGGTAAAAAATCTTGCAAATTTTTGGTTAGATTTCCATCCATAATCTGAACATGAAATATATCCTGGGGAAAAAGGATAAGTTTTACCATTATAAGATATAACATTCCAAAGAAAAATTCCTAAACTCACAGGAACTGAGTCAAACAAAAACTTACAAACTGAAGCTTTAAGTTGGGGTGGTTGATGCTTTTTACTATTTCTAAACCTGGAATGAAAAATTTATTCTTAGCCCAAAAAAGAGGAAAAAAACTTGTCAATATCATATACTATACCAAATTCTAACCTGTACCTTTAATAAACTCTTAATGAACCTTTGAAAAATAGCAAAAATCAAACCTTCATGTGGGTTATGCATGAAGTAGCCAGGAATTGATAGACGATTGTTGACTGGTTCAATCAATGCCAGAATACCTTCCTGTTGGAATAAATAAATTATTGATTAAAAAAAATAAACAAATACAAGATGTGAAAGAATTGATCATAAAGAACACAAAACCTTGAGAAATCAACACAAATAATGACCTTTTATTCTAATTAATAATGAATCATTTTAAACAAGTAAAATCTTTTATCTAATCAATAATTAACATACTTTGCCCAGCCTATCAGCTGCATATTTTAAGTTTTCTATGTAAGTTTTTTTCATTTTTTCTCTGCCAGCAACATCAGTGCCCTCTGGTGTTCTTCCTGCCATTACATGCATTCTGAAAGAATGTTATGTGTATTAAAAATTGATCACAATAATATTTTTAAAAAAATATTTTTGCTTAGTATAGAGATCTAATTATCTTGGGATGTGTAGAACAAAGGCTAGAAAAAAATGTAAAAAAAAATAAAAAATCACCTTTTGCAGTTCAAAGCTTTGGCATAGTTTATGGACAATTCTAGTCCTTCTTTAAATTCCTTGACTCGTTCTGTTTGAGCAGCTGTGCCAAGGTCACCTGCTTTTAAGTTACCTGAAAGTGTAGGAAGGATGGCTAGAATTTCAGTCCAATATTGAAATCTAAACATAATCTTTATTAAAAGAATATAGAATATTTTACATAAATGTAAAAAATTAAATTAAGTTATTCAGGATTAAGAAAGAGGTTCCTATGATTACTTACAGGGCAATAACAGATCTGTATCAAACAAGTATTAAAAAGGAGGGGCTAATAAGGCAGGCCCTGCAAGGCCCCTCACTGATAAACATAGTCTTAACTCTCCCTCGATGTATCTAGGATTTTCTACTCCTTAATTGTTAGTTTAAATTAGCGAAATGGTAGTAATATAAAATAACACTAGCCTAGTTTAACAGCAAAACATGATTTCATCCCAACCGCTGTTGGTGATCATAAAAGTAGGCCTACCACTACCATTATGTATAGTACATCAAAACCAATGTCAATGGCTGGTAGTCTTATTACTTAGTCTTACTAAGGGGTCGTCAATTAATAATGTCACACTCATAGGGGAGGGGGTTCAGATGGTGTGACGTCACACTTTTGCATTATAAAAAAGCAATGTTAGAAAATGAATTTTAGCTGTTATTTCACATTTAAAACTGTTTTAATAAAGTGTAATAGGAATTGATTAAAATACTCTATGTTGAGAGAGTTCAGACAAGATTTTGGAAAAATATCGAATTTTAAGAAAAATTCAACTGTAATTTTGGGGGGGGGGGGGGGGATGTAGACTGAGGTGTGATGTCATTTTAATGGGGGGGGGGGTCTGGTTTTTTGTGACAATGTGTGACGGAGGGGAGGGGGAGGTAAAAATCATCAAAATAAGTGTGACTTCATTTATGGAAAACTCTTAAGTTACTTGCTACAATATTAGTAAGTTGTTTAAAAGCCGAAAGCCACTGTTTCTTTCAACACTTTGCTTCAAGTAAGCCAATTCATTGTATAAAATGTAATGTATTGTATTCAATATTTGTGAGTTAGTCAGTCTCCTCCTAGTGTCCTAGTGCCGAGTGCACCCTCTGTTAAACTGTAAGTGTAGGCCCTTTCTAGATCAGTAGATCTAGATCCTAGTATTAATTATTAATAATTAGGTATTATTTTCAGCAGGTCTGAGCAGAGTTTCTTCCAGGCATCTCTTCGGTGCCCCCCCCCCACCCCACCCCCACCCCCCCCCCGAACGAAATGGAATTTATATAGGAAATATATACTTTTGACCCCCCCCCCCGAATTGTTGTCCGCCCCCCCCCCCCCCCCAAAAAAAAACAGATTTTTAGAGCCCCAACTTATAGATCTAGATCTAACTAACACACTTTGTTAGGCTAACACAAATGTATTAATTTTAGTAGGCCCTATTAAATAATAGTTTATAATAGTAACAGAACTAGTAAATAATAGATCTAGATCTAGATCTAGATCTAGTAGTGTCACAGGCCTCACAGGGTGTCACAGTCATTTCATTAGTGTAAATCAGTAACATCTAGACTCGATTCTAGGTCTAAATGACATAAATTTCGTTAACGTAAATAGTAAATACAAATAACCCATAACCAACCAGGGAATGCATTGATGAGCACTTGTTCTACTCCAGCTTTTTCTTTAGCTTCTTTTAATTTTTCAATGGGTTCGTCGTATGGAAAAGTTAACTCCACGAACGTGAAACCTGCTTTCTTAGCTGCTGCGTATCGTCCCTCCAAAGTTGGAATCTCTTGAAACATCATAGAGATGTTTGCTGCAAACTTTAGAGGCATTGTGTGCTTGTTAACAGAAGACGTTGTGATTTGTTTGCGTTTAATAACAAGTAAAAATGTGAGTTTGGTTATCGCCCGCATAACAAAGTGAGTTGAAAGTATGCCTACACAAACAAGAGAAAAGAACAGCTGTAGACTGGAGGTAAAGGGTCAAAGGTTACTTAAATACTATTTGTACGTTAACGTAATATTGCTTGTACTGTTAGCTATATAAACCTATGAATAGTACTCTTAATCCGTTTAAAAAATTTCTAAATGAAATAGTTATATCAAATAATAATAACTGTCACTTTTAGTTATTTAGATAGGCACACATATTTTCTTCTTGTCAAATAAATGCAAAAGTGAATTTTGTCATAAAAGTTTCATGTAAATATTGTAAATTATTGAATTTATTGATTATTGTATAGTTAAATTTGATTATAGCTAATTTCCTAAAGTATTTTTATAGAATGACCAGTTTAGAGTTATAATTTTTTTTTTTTAAGTAGCTTTCCCCATTTACTGAATGCTTGAACTTGGCTTTAAGTAGAACTAGCCAACAGGAGGGTACAGCAGTGACAGTCACCAACCTTAACAGAGGTGTCAGTACTCTGTGGGCTGCATTTAGTAGCCAGTCTACTGTGGTTTATCTTTCAATTTATTTTTAAATAGTGCAGCTGATATTGCTTTTTGTTTCTTTTAGTTGTATGTTCAAAGCATCTTCTATTGCTTTTTGTTTCTTTTAGTTGTATATTCAAAGTTTCCTATTGATGTAAGAAAACTTTTAAAACTTTTTTTTAAATGAAATTCCCAGAAAACAAATGTTAAGAATTTTCCCAGTTTTTATTTATATTGGAAGTGAACATGTTTAAATTTATCTTCATGTTTCAAATATTCTTGCTTGTTCATTTAAAGTAAACTCAAGGCACTTTATTAGTTGTTTTAATCGCTAAAATTCTGCTCAATTATTTGTTAGGCAGCAAGTTCCAAAGTGTGATGCTGCCCTTATATTGCCCCCCCCCCCCTCTCTCTCTCTCTCCCCCCCCTCTCTCTCTCTCTCTCCACACAGATTAATGGAAATTCAATATTTTTACACCTCTTTCACTCTGTCATCAATATAGTTAGGTCATGCAAAAAGCCATACAACAAAAGGTTAACAACAAAAAAAAAGGAAGAAACATCATCAGTATGGTATCAGTACTTTTATTTTCATCTACGTACAAGTCAAATGTATGCAGCTCTCTGACCTAGCGAGGAGCTCAAGACTAACTAGGAACAAACAGCGATGAACAGACTAAGTCTAGATCTCAGCAAGTCACAGGGAAAAAAATGACTTGTTTTCCAAGGGTGACAAAAACGCATAAATTAACTTAAGGGGAAACAACTTTTCTTGTAGTTGTATTGTAAAATGGTTTTCAGCTGTTGACAGAAGCAAAAATGTAACAATTTTGTGTGGTAAAAAAATTAAGTTCTATAATATGGGTTTGTTTAAAAAAAAATCTGGTGTAATGGTATGGTACACTATTTATTTAAGATGTTAGCTTTAGTGGTGCTTTAACTTTTTTTTTTTTTAAATTAAGAGTGATAGTTACATTTTTACCCCTTGCAAGTTTGTGATTAAAAATGTTGAAGTCTGTTAATAAAGCATACCCATATTTCAAAAGTAAAAACAATTTTTTTTTTCCAATGTACATGTTTGTGATTTTAAAAAAAAAGTGAAAAGTATTGAAATACCAGTGTGTGATTCTTAAAGAAGAACCTGCTAAATCTGGCCAGAAAATGGGAACAGGAGGTTGTACAAGGGAGGTCACTCCACACTCACACATCCAAGTGACATGGGTACAATGAATGAAGAAAAAATTCACTAGTGAAGTACAAGTAAACACTGTAACACTATTGTCATTCTCCCAGCTGTTTTAGTCACAGCGTCTTCATTTACATATATTTAAAAAACATGAAGTTAACATAGACAGATATATGTTGTTTGTTTTTTTTTTAAATAGGAAGTTTGAACTTCTGGACACTTTAGAAAAAGTTTAGGTAGGTTATTTGAATATTTTTGTTTAATCACAATTGTCAGATTTTTCAAAAATTATTTTCGTAAAGAGATCTATATCTATGATGATCAGTGATTTTTAAAAATGAGTACCAGTGAAAAAGTGTGTACAGATCTGGTACTCCATTTGAATCAATACAACCATGACAATTTTTATTAATTTTAAAGTCTCACTAAGAAAACAGCTTGTGGCACAGGTAGTCACTACAGTCAACAACATTGAGCATTTAATGTCATGTGACTATTACTGTCTTCAGACGGACCAGCAGAGCCTAACTTAAAGTTAATTGCGATTTATTTTTAACATACTTATCAGAAAAGTTTTTCTTAAGTATTTAAGTAAGCAGATCAACTAAAGCAACAAAAATAATTTATCTCTTAGAAATTCAATGTTCAAATATTATCGCAAAATTCATGCTAACATTCAATGTTACAGAAAGTTTACACAACAAAAACTAACAAAACCAGTCAGTTTCTTGTTTTCAAACAATGAAAAAAATAACTAGGAGCCAGAAAAATAAAATGAGGAATGTATACGAAACATCAGAGTGGGTACACGTACATGTATGCAGATTATGAAGTGCGCAGACCAATTCATGGACAACTTAGACATGAAATTGCTTGAAAACAAATTGCACAATTATGTCCAGCTTGTTCCAATATTCTAGAAAATCTCAGAAAATCTGACCAGTGGTTTACTGAACAATCATCAACATAGTTAAAGAATGTTTTTTTTTAATCTGCAACCAATGTCTTCTCACTGAATTGAACATGACAATATTGAAACCAAATACACTAAGAAATATAACAATTTACAGGTCAAATACACTGAGAAATATGACAATTTACAGACCAAATACACTGAGAAATATGACAATTTACAGACCAAATACACTGAGAAATATGACAATTTACAGACCAAATACACTGAGAAATATGACAATTTACAGGCCAAATACACTGAGAATTATGACAATTTACAGACCAAATACACTGAGAATTAGGACAATTTACAGACCAAATACACTGAGAATTATGACAATTTACAGGCCAAATACACTGAGGAACAGAACCTGGTAATGGCAGCCATCTTGTATAATGAGTTATTGCACTAGTCCAACAATCCTCAGAAAATGACAAGCATCAAGCTTCACAAACCTGGTAGCACTTCTTCAAACAAGTTTTGGTTATAAAATTGGCTAACTTTTCTTTTAAATCCACAAATAAAAGTGATGAATATTTATATGTATATTTTTACTGAAAGAACATTTAAACAGTATTATTCTCTGTTGTTGACTAGATTTTCTTAGAACATAAGGAATAAAAGACAAGAAATAGAAATCTGATTAGATTATAGTAGATACATGCAGTCATACCCAGCATACACCCACACAAACATGGCGGCATCAGGGGAAACAACACGGACTACTTGAGAAATCAAGAAACTAACCATTAAGCTAAATGGAATGAGTTTTACAAAGGTGGAAATGTAAACTTTTCTCAAAGGAGAATACTAGGGATCAGCTGAGTACAGAATAGAATAAATATTGACAAAAAGCAGATGACAGAAAAAACATGAAACAACTAACAAGCAGCTGGACCAAGGTGACCACTACACAAATTTGACAACTTTATCAATTATGCTGTCGAAGAGAATGTTGACATCTCATAAGGAAAAACCAATTTAAAAAAGAAACAGTTGTACCGGTATCTGTTTAATTTTTATAAACTATGAGCTTTTTATACAAGACAATTCATCATACACAATCAAAGTTCAAAAAGATTTTTTTTAAAATGGGAAAGTAGATAGACACAGTGAGCACAAATGAAACTTTGTACATAAAGTTTAGAACCAAAACAGATCAAAGTGCCATAATGCAGCGTTACTTTTAAAACAACTGATCTATGTTTCAATTCAACTGTGTGTACATATGGGGAAAAAGTTGACCTACATAGAATTCTGCACATAAGTTTTGCAAATGTTTTCCAAAAAATTGATGCAAAAATTAAGTCAGATGTGATTTGAAATAAAAATTCAATAAATACACAAAAATCAGGCCATATCTGTAAATTTTTTATGAAAAAAAAAAAGTTTTTTTTGGTTAAAATAAAATCTTAATCTGCTCATAGCTCCACAGATTTTCAAATATTATTCCACATAATTTTTCCCTACTTGTTTTAATGTCTACCAATCAACTAACAATTACAGAAAGGACATGAATGAAAAATCTTTTATGGAATAATATTCTGATGCAAATGAAAATGTACAATAAAGTAAAGATCATAATGGGTGGGTATGGGTGGGGGGGGGGGGGGAAATTAAAGAATAACCACACCTAGAGTAATTAGCACATGTAAATATTTATAGAGATAGATAAGAAGAAAATAAACAACAAGTCATATAATATATAATAGTAATAGTTATAATACAGATTTCACAGCCTGATTTGCGAGCGTATTTAGTCCAGTAATGAACAATATTTCATTTGAATATGATCATGAATTAAAAAAAATTTGGATGAAAAAACATTTGCAACCTATGATTAACAATCACAGAATTGGTTTTTTTTTTGTAGTAATTACTAATTTTTTTTTTCTTTTCACATAACAACAGTTTCATGAAAAACACCAACCAAACAACAAGCAACCAATCAAACAACTTTATACATCAGATTCACACGCTGAGGCATCCTGACTAGTTGTATATATCATACTATATTCTTCAAGACAAAAAAAAAATAAAACAAAGTATTCAAACATTGTCTATAATGATTTTTAAGAGAAAATATACACAGCTGAAAATTATAAATAAGAACCCAAGATGTTAAGCCATACAATGACTCTGAATATATTTTTAACAACAGCAAAAGTTAGAATGTCATGGTTAAAATTTACTGAAGATTTTTACAAGCCAGAGAAGACATGACCAAAATGATTTACTCATTTTAAAATAATATATGATAATAACTCTACATGAGAACTTTGAAAAGGTGTGAATTTCTAAAGTCAAGTGGGGGATAAATTTGTTTGCTCTTCCGTTTCATAAGTCTAACAAAATGAAAAAAATGAGTAAGTTGTAATTACACAGTATCCTTGGTGCACGTTTACCAACAATTAAACAGGCAAATTTCATTCATCTTCACTGTCAATCAAAATTTATTTCTTAAAATCATAGCACAATCCTTGCATGTATCAGAACTTTCAAGTAATATTTGCCACCTATCATTATATCTTATTCAATATAAGTCAAAAATTATACACCATAATCACACAAACTCCATTCATACATTCGAATCGCACATTCCAATGATACATTCAAGTGATATATTCCAATCACACACTCCAATCATATATTCCAATCACACACTCCAATCATATATTCCAATCACTCACTCTAATCATAGATCCCAATCACACATTCCAATCATAGATTCCAATCACACTTCAAAGCATCAGTGGCAAGCTACTATGTCCTGAAGAACTGAACAAGTGATAAAAGTCCACATGTAAGTAGTCCAAAGCAGCAAACAGAAAACCTTCTACAGACTGTCTACAGCACCCAACCTCTGCTGGGACCTTGCAGCCTCCAAGGACAATGGCACAATGTCATTTTATTATGATAGGAGACTATTATGGTTCTTTGAGTTGACGTACAGGAGCAACGAGAAAACAGTTATAAAAATTATCCAGGCTGAAATTGTGAGTAGCTTGCCAGAAAATATATGAATAGTAAAATTTTATAAGAGCAGAAATGAATGAAGATAGCTAAATATGTTTTAAAGTTTATCTACATTTCTTGTATTTCACATGAAATAAATGTTTAATTTTATATTAACTTCCTTATTAAAAAAAATTCCAACAAAAGAATAAAATAGTGTAAATCTTTTAAAATAAAATTTGAAACTTTATTTATTTTCAGCTGCACATAAAGTAAATGCGAAGGTTATTACTTTCTTGATGATCAGTTTTCAGAAGAGAAAATGCCCATACAAGAGAGCAGAGAAAATGATGTTAATTACTTATTAGGGACCACAATCTTTAGCGTCATAGGGCTCGCAACAAACAAAGTTGAAATCAGTTGACCACAAATAAAAGGGGCATAAGGAAAACAACAAACAGAATCTTGGATAGAAGTCTATGGTACAAGTAAATGCAAAGGGTATCCTATCACAAAACTTTGATGAGCCATTAGTGGTTTTACAGTAATGGAGAGTCTGAAAAACCTGTTAGTTTCATGCTGCAATGTTGTGAATTAGAATGACTTCCCTTTGATAAATAAACTAAATTAATGGAATTATTTTTTATTTGAGTTGTGTTAAAATTTTAAAATATAAATACTTCATGGAATTGTTTTTAGAATAATATTAATTTCAACCAAAATCTTTTTACGTTTTAATGAGCATGAAAATAAAAGGTATCTCAATTTTTATAGAAATGCAATGGAGGAAAATTACATTAAAAATATATTAAAGATAGGAGAAAATTTTTATAGAAATAATGTTAAGAAATGTGGTTCATATCAGATCAACTGATCAACTGTTAGATCTTTCTGAATGTGGAGGCTAGATTTTTTTTTCCCCAAAACAAATAAAATGCCAGTCAAGCTGTTTGGTTGGTAGGACTTACAGTGTAGAGTGTTGTTTTATTACAGAAAACTATACAATAATGAAAAATTTAATATAGAAAAAAGTACAGCATTAAAAGTTATAAATTTAAAAAAAAAAAAACTGGTAAATAAAAAAAAGTTCAGACATGTGACTGAAACAAAGAAAAAATATTTTTAAAAATCTGTTCCTTCCCATTAAACTTTACAAACAAATATAAAATAGAATTAAAATGTATTTAAACTAAAATATGAATGACTCATTAAATCAGGTGCAAGATTGACTTCCAGGAATGTCAAAAATTAGAAAATGGACACAAAAAATTCATTGCCGTTCTGCCCTCAAGGGTACTTTTAAAAAAATGTCAGTGAAAATTTAAAATCTCTGGAACAATAGTAAAAACATGGAATGCAGAAAAAAAACAACCAAACAAGCAGAAAATATATAAATTTAAAAAAAAGGAATGTCATGTATAAGCAGCTCCCTCACAACGCAAATGAATAAAAGTAAATTATTTACAAATTCTGGATTAAAACGGAATGAAATCCAAAATAAATTATTAAGAAAACAACCACACTGAGAATAGATACAAACGGTCAGTTGTGCAGCCAAATAGATGTCATGTACATCAGTAAAACATCCCAAGATGAGCTTTATATTGAATAATACTCTAGTTTCACCAGAACAAAATTAATAATTAAATTTTTAATTGTATTAATTCAGTCACAACACAAATTTTTATAAATTATAAACAAATTCAAAAACTAAATAAAATAAACATTTAACATAGCAATAAAAATAAATTTCAAGCAGATTTTAGAACAAAAATCTAATGAAGTGTGTGTATAATATTTAATATTGCATCAAAAGTTTCCACAATCTAGTAGATAGTGTAAATATATTTTTTTTTTTACAAATCTTCCTGAAGAATTAAATAGATATAAATTTAAAATCTTTTTAAAAAAAATCAAATAAGCAAATAAAATTTATTAAATCTTATCTGATAGTTTTTTTAAATTAAAATTTTACTTTTCCTGTGTAGACAAAAAGTAAAAGAACTAAAACAAACTTGGGGAAAATTTTGTTACTGCAGAAGAGGAATGGTAAAATAAAATTAAATGTTTAGATGACACCGAGGGGATTTTCAGTTGAGCAAAAAAATTGAACAATAAGTTGTTTTAGTATATGTGGTTTCTGATCCTGAGAAACTATTTTAAAAATCTGTTTTGCAACCATAGAAAAAATAGACTTCTTGTATCTACCTTTTATAATTTCCAGTCCAAAAGAGTTACCTAAATCAGAGATAAGGAGCTGAACTAAAAGAGGTAGATTAAAAACAAAAAGCGAAACCTGAACACACAGTCATACAGCCATGTCTACCACTTGACCTTAGAGACAGATTACCACCAGCAGATGTACATTCTATACACATTTCTAAGACAGCAATCATTTTATAAAATAGTTTAAAATAAAAGTATTTTTTTTCCTGATGCCAAGGGGTGGTATTTGGCAAGGTAAAAAAAAATGTAAAGAATAAGTATTGTTTTTTTGTCTTAACAAAAAAAAAATATTATACATAACACCAGCAATTGAAACTATACTGGGTGTTGTTTAAACCCTTTGAGAAGCACTCTCCCATTGAGTTCTATGCAGGGGTTAAGATCAGCAGGAACAGTTACTGTTGTTCAGGTTGGGGTTCTCTGTCAGCCTTGTGGACTTGGTTGTGTTGTTGACCATGGTGGGGTCAGCATCTAGACTTTCAGACATTTTGTCACAGATGATGTCCACCAAGCGTTCAAAGACGGCCTTGACATTGATATTTTCTTTGGCTGAGGTTTCAAAAAACTCTAAGCCTGTGGGAGAAACAAGGGAATTAACCTGTTAATGTCTACTAAAAGTTGTCTAATAAATTTCTATTTCAGAAAACAATAATTAAAATTCCATTGATGTTTAGCGTTTAACTTAGTTTAAGTTAATTTATTAGAACTTTATATACTATTATACTAAATTTTATTTAACAGTCTTTACATATATATAAAAATTATTTTAAAATGTATATTCAAATTGTAGAAAGTATAACTGCAGATTTATTTAAATGATAGATAGTTTAAATAAATTTACAGTCAAATAGAGTAAAATTTTAATTTAAAGAAATAAATATGGATATGACCAAAAAGGTTAAAGTAAACAATACTATTATTACAAAATGCTGTTTGTAACACACAAATATTACTATGCAGGAAATTATATAAACATAGCATTTACAGTTTCTTTTCTTAATTAATTTTGAAACAATAGAAAAAAAAAACAAATAACAAAATTTTAAAATGCAAGATATTTCTATGAACTCTGGGATGTGATTTCTGGACCTTCCTGAATGGAATGTGTGGCATTTGTCCAAATGGATCACTTGGATAATTAGCCCTTCCCTTCCCATGTCAGCCCACCCCAGATGTATTTCTGTATGCTAACTGCACTCTAATCATGCAAACAATCCAGCAATTATGAGGCAGATTTTCCCTTATGTTAGCAGAAGTAATTGTGTAACTTCAGCAGTGAAGAGTGAGATAATGACTGCAACAGAACAAGAAACAGTTAACTATTTTTTTTACTCCAAACTTTATACTTCTATTTGTTTCTAGATGGGCTAGCAAGAGTGTTGTATGTGTGTGTGTGTGTGTGTGTATATATATATATATATATATATATATATATATATATATATATATATATATATATATATATATATATACATACATACATATATATATATATATATATATATATATATATATATATATATATATATATATATATATATATATATATATATATATATATATACACATACACAAACTACCTTTTACAATGGATTTTATCAAGACTTAAAATTAAGATACTGATACAGAAATATTGTAAAATGATAGTTGAAGAGCTATGGACTAAAACATAAAAGTCAAAGTCTTGTCAACAGCCTTGGGATTTGCTAAATATAATGGAGCCAGGAGGAGCCACTGGTTTGTTAGGATAACAGGGGGCGCCACTGGTTTATTATGATCTTATTTTCCCAGGAAACTCCTCCGAGACCAGACACGCCAAGACAGCCAAGGGGGAGTTAAGGGGAGCTAATTGGCAGAAGACTGAGAGCTATAGCGTTGAGAAGGGGGAAAAAACAGAAATTTTATTACCAAAATAAGTTCAAAATAGACTGGGTATCATGGTGGAAACTAAAGAAGTAATTTTTTTATGACAAGATGGTCTCAGGCATTAAGCTAGTTATGACATCAAAATATACGAGATGAAAACACTGCAAGGATGTTTTGGTGTTACTGTTGTACATAATGCCACAATAGTTAATTGCCCTGATTGTACATAATGCCCAGATATTTTAGTTTACCAGTCATATGCAATGTCAGGATGTTTTAGTCTACCTGTTATACGTAATGCCAGACATTCATGTATTTGTGTTGGGAGAGATGAATATCCCAGACAATTTGTGAGTCAAATGCTACAGCTGCTGCATCCATCAACCATACATCACATACTGCTGTCTCATAAGGCGAATCATGAGCTATAAATGGCCACTAGTTTTAGGCGACGCCATCCATGTATAGTAAATACGTTTACCTTTTTTAAGTCCTAAAACTGAACCTACGACAGCAAAACATGAAATATACATCATGTTTGGGTAGATACTGAACTGAATAATTCCTTTCCCCATTTTTTTGACTTGGTATAAAAAAAACAAAAGTATTGGAAATATGATATTCAATGACAGTAAATGTCATGTCAAATGACAGTAAATGTCAAGCAAAATATCACTAAAATACTACTCTCACATCATGATGTAACAGAAGTTGACATCAAACATCATGTAACTATTTAATTTGTTACACTTCACTTTTCAGTTAATTTATTTATTTACTGATTGTGTGCATTTTTTTGGAGTTAATTTTCAAGGTAAGTCTTTACTGGGGAAAATTTTCATTGTAAAAAATATAATTGTTCTACCTGACCAACTTTTTATATGAATACATAAATGATCTATGCCTTATAAACAGCTACAACTACAATAACTTTAATTAATAAGATAATGAAGGAGAGAAATGAATTCAATATTATGATAACGAGCCTAATTATAATTAATAAAAGGCATCAACTTCAGAACTAATTACTTTAGGATGAATGAAAGTTTATAAAATAACATAAAAATAATGTGTTGTCACATAAGCTGAAAATAAAACTCCAATAAATTGTTATTTTCTTTAAATGTGAGCTTTTGTTAAAAACTGCTTTTGACAAATGAAACTTCAAATATGTAAATATAATTGCAAAGGGGGTCTAATATGTTTTGACTTGTATTATGTGTATGTGTGCATGGGCACATAACAAAATAACACACAAACAGTATAATGACTATTTCAAGAACATCAAAATGTGGTTTGTGACATTAAAAAATTGCCACACTAGGGTGTGTAAGGGAAAGAGGGGGTTCTCACCCCATGACACCCCCTGGCTACGCCACTGCTTGACCGTGTTGATTATGTAAGTCTGTGTGGAAGTAGCAACTACAAAAACTATCCGTGTATGACAATGACAACACTGGAATGTGTGTCTATGTATGGGACTTAATGTAGCATGCCTGCTACGCCAGTAATGTATGATGCTACACCAAAAAAATGTGTGCTTTTCTGAAAATAATGCTGTTCCGTTAAAAGTACAAACTGAATTACTTATTACATTACAACCGACCAAGAAAATATTTTTAACCACTATTCTTCTTCCACCACCACCACCCCTCCCCCGGCTTTCAGAGCGGGTTAAGCAATACCATACAAGGAAATAATCAATAATGTAATACAAACTCAAGATTACAACGAATTACTCTGTTTAAAAAAAAAGAATTGTAGTCGGAATAAATCACTCCGCTCAATATAATTACAAAAGCAATTGAAATAATATGTGCGTCACTGCGCGCGCCGTGACGTCATATGACGCGTTAACAACCGCGTACAATATGGCGACCTGAATGTGCCGCCTCATTCAGAACTCCATCAATTATTCCCCCCAGGAGATGTCATTTTATATTCTCTGGTCGATCCCACATACAAAAATCGTTACCATGTAAATAAACAATACGCCGCCCCCACCCCTCCCCTAAACACTCACACACACAAGCTTCCAACCAATTTGTGCAACAGCTGTGAAAATTGTATTTTTTATTTGAATGCCATTACGGTGTGTCAGCCATATTTACTAGTACCTCCTACGTTAAAGGACGCAAACAACCGACTAGTTTGTAACTGTGGAGTCGAACCGACACAGCCTCCTAGGGTAGTAGGCCTACTGCTGCATTATTCAAACTACAGGAGCTTTAACAAACCCCGTCCTTTCCCTACCCCCACAGAATAATGCTTCAAGCGTGTTAAATCGTGCATTACGTAACAGATATAGTCGTTTATTCTGACGTAATTGAGCAGGTGGGGGGTAGTTCTGACGTAATTTAATAAGGTTATTTCGCAATAACAACCAAGTTCTTTAACTTAACGTTATGAACACGTAAGCCCAAGACAGGCAAGATTTTGCGCTAATTAAATCAATGGGGGTTACATCAATAAAAAATGTCATGTTATGTCAGTAAACAAAAAAAAATTGACAAGTGGTTCAGAGATTGTGTATGTTGTTTTTCCTTCAAGCCCAGTTGAAAATTGGATTTTCGAGTAGGCGTTTGTTGTTTCTGTCAAGTATTGAACAGAACTTACGCCCCCCCCCCTCCTCTCCCAATCGTCTATACATTTCACAGATTGCATGTGTCGTAAATTAACTTATAACCCAGCATTAATCATCGGATTTTACAAACCATTAAACCCTCTGATGATGTATAACATAAAAACCCTCTGACATTACAAACCACGAACCCTGTTACAAACCACGAACCATGGACAGAACGCTCTGACAATACAATCCACGAACACTCTAATATTCCACACTCCCCTGGACAAGATTTTAAAATTGGTATAATTGTGTTGAGTTTTTTTGTGTAATGTTTCTAAAGAGAAAAAGGCCAACAAAACACCGTGTACGGCTGCCATTATTGTACGGTCCCAGCAGTTTAAAAAAAAAAAAAACATTGGACGTCAATATCGCACAACAAAAAGTTTTTTTTAATCGTGTGACATTTAGCCCGAAACCAGGGAAAAATCAAGTGCGTAGCTTCAATAATCAAGTTACAACATGGTTAACTTCAATTTTCAAGTTTCAACATGACTAACTTTAATAATCAAGTTAAAAACAGAGCTAGCATCATTAATCAAGTTCCAGCACGGCTAGCTAGCTTCAATGATCAACTTTTCAGTGCGGCAACCATCAAGAACTTAGCTTGGGCTGAGCAAAACAAAACAAAAATCACAGACTAGAGAGCGCTGAGTAATGCAAGCCTGGTCCCCTACTACTCACACTAGCACACCACACTACACACCACACTAGCACACCACACTACACACCACACTAGCACACCACAATACACATCACACTAGCACACCACACTACACACCACACTAGCACACCACAATACACATCACACTAGCACACCACACTAGCACACCACAATACACATCACACTAGCACACCACAATACACATCACACTAGCACACCACACCACACTAACACACCACACTACACACCATTAACACACGCGACCAGGATACGACACGCAACATCATAACACAACACACGCAGCCAACACAAGGTACATACCCATAAACACAGTACACATAACATCGCACGTTAATTCAACACACCATTTAAATCCGTGGCATATCGTGACCTTTCCCCTCTAACCTAATCTGACACCGTGTCATACTGTAACACGCCATACAACAATTACTCCCATGTAGAAGGCTGTCCGGTTAGGATTTGGTTAGCGTTATAAAAACACAGGATGTGACTGTAGATTCCGTCACAACAGTGTATCTTTCAGGTATCACTTGGTGGTGGTGGTGGGGGGGGGGGGGGGTTAGGGATTACACGGACACCACCTTCCACCTCGCTCCCCCGAGCAAATCCACTCCCAACCCCTCCTGACTAAATATAAAAATATATACTTCAACCAGTGTTTCATGGTCGCCTCCCCCCCCCCCTCCCCCATCCGGAGAAATGAAAGAAACTCTGGTCTTTGCACTAATTTATGGCAATTATTTTGGTCAATACATTTTTTACCAACTCTTTGAAAACACCGTGATTTTAATTTTTAACGCAGACACCCCCCCCCCCCCCAATACCGTTAAAAGACCCAACCACATCCGACTGGTAACTAACCTTACCCCCACCCTTCCTAAAACCTATGTTGTAAGTATGAAACCCGCTCCACAAACAACCCACAGTGTCAGCAAGCATCATCAACCACAAGTCACAAGACAGGCACCACAGAACACGATCACAACACGATCTTAGACTCCCACCCATTCGAATAATTTAGATCTACGTGACAACAAAAACATTGCGAAACTTCATCGATATACATCAAAAAACCATTCCGTTAACGGCCGGAACACGACACTTTTCTCAGCTTCATTTAAAACCGGAAGCTTGTGTTGCTAGGTTACGGAACGCGGCCGTGCTCATACTGCTGATGATTATTAGAGCTTGGGGCTGAAAACTGCCGCATCCTTGTGTCATCCCATTGATACACGTTCTGGGTTAGGCTGAAATAAAAGTGTTCGGTTGCAGGTCGACTGCCACTTGTTAACATAATAGGGAACTCTCGTGATTACGCAACGACTCCGAGCTTAAGACAGATGTTGGCAAATAGAGTGAAGAGTTTCAAGACACAAAGTTTTAAGACTGTGAGGGGGTTAGTTTTTAAGGTATAAGGTTATAGTCGGGTATTTTATGTATCAAACAGGGACCATTGTTTAGATGTGCAACACGAAATGGACCAGGTGGTTTGTTTATTAAATCTGCTGAAAATGTAAACATGGTTTGAACTATTCTAGAAGGGTTTGGGTGCCGCCTATGTCTAGCAGACCAGCCTGTATTTAGCGATTGTTGAAGCCGTGTGGGTGTTGTAGGTGGTGAACACCGTCAATAGGATATCACTCTTATAAAGGTTTTCTTAGTCTTGTATAAAGGTGTTTTTAATTTTAATGAGATTTTTCTAAAAAAAAAATAAAAATCAATAACATTCGCTGTATTAAATGTTGAAGATCCAGCTACCCCTACCCCTCCAACTAGTTACACCTACATCCCCCCCCTCTAAAGATGTCAATGTTTTAATGAATGCAACAGTTGTCAATATCAGTTGCATGAATGTTTCTATGTTATGTATAGATGTATGTATAGATAGTTGACTGCTATTGTGGGCTGAAGAGATTATTGCGATAAGCTCACATTCCTTAAAGTTGTAACCACACTAATAGGATTATACAGACCACGTCATATTTGTGTGTACACGTCATAGTTGTGTGTACACACTGTGTGCGTACGGGGTTTTAGAGGTCAGTAGGTGACAAGTGACGAGGGGTCAGATGACGTGTACATGATAAGCTGGGCTATGGGTACTCACCCTGTACATGATGAGCTGGGCTATGTGTACTCACCCTGTACATGATGAGCTGGGCTATGTGTACTCACCCTGTACATGATGAGCTGGGCTATGTGTACTCACGACGTACATGATGAGCTGGGCTATGTGTACTCACTATGTACATGATGAGCTGGGCTATGGGTACTCACCCTGTACATGGTGAGCTGGGCTATGTGTACTCACCCTGTACATGATGAGCTGGGCTATGTGTACTCACCCTGTACATGATGAGCTGGGCTATGTGTACTCACGACGTACATGATGAGCTGGGCTATGTGTACTCACCCTGTACATGATGAGCTGGGCTATGTGTACTCACTATGTACATGATGAGCTGGGCTATGTGTACTACCCTGTACATGATGCGCTGGGCTATGTGTACTCACCATGTACATGATGAGCTGGGCTATGTGTACTCACCCTGTAAAGCTGGGCTATGTGAACTCACCCTGTACATGATGAGCTGGGCTATGTGTACTCACCCTGTAAAGCTGGGCTATGTGAACTCACCCTGTACATGATGAGCTGGGCTATGTGAACTCACCCTGTAAAGCTGGGCTATGTGTACTCACCCTGTACATGATGAGCTGGGCTATGTGTACTCACCCTGTACATGATGAGCTGGGCTATGTGTACACACCCTGTACACGATGAGCTGGGCTATGTACTCACCTAACTGGTCAGCTAACTGCTTCCCTCTCTCAGTGGACACGACCCTCTCGTCCTCGAGGTCACACTTGTTGCCGACCAGAACTACCTGGGCGTTGTCCCAGGAGTAGGTCTTGATCTGTGTGCACCTGGTGACCCCCAGGTCACGTGACAAACGTCCGGCAGCCATTATGGTCAGAAGGCAGTCAGCCAATGCCAACAGCAATGGTGAATATGGGCGTCCAATGGGAGGGGTAGGGCGGGGGGGGCACGTGTAGAGAGGTGGTGGTTGGGGGAGAAGGATGGTGATGGTACAAGATGAGGTGGACAAGGTACGGGGATGGGTGTAAGAAAAAAAACAACTTTTAGAACATTTAAAAAAAAAATTCAAACAAGAGCTTGAATGTAAACATCCTGTCTGGCCTAGACTTATGGACGAATTACTGACAAGCTCTCCTCTTTCAATAAAATTAACAAGAACATAAATTTAAAAAACAAATCATTAATTGAACTTAACAAAGTCCATACGTCATGACCTTACGATATCTGCGTATGGGTAACAACAATAATAATAATGCAAATTTCAATATTGTTGAACAGAAGCAACCAGTCACGTGAACAGGAAATTGAACCAATCAGAACGCGTGTACCAACCAAGCCTGCTGGCCAAGCTCTGAGCGTCAGCGGTTGACACCTCCCTGTCGTCGGAGTCGCTCTTGCTGCCCACCAGCACGATAGGGATATTGTAGCAGGTGTGGAGTTTGATCTGGTAGATCCTGGTGTAAGGTCAAGGCTGGACTCAACGGGAGCACGTGACTGACCCAACTACACAGCTAATCAGGCTGGGGTGTAAAACAGCTGATGTGGGCAGGTTAGACTGCCCAGGTGCGGCATGGTTGACCAGTGACAATTAGCTTTTAGCCACGGTAATCATCTGCGCCTACACACGCTGCGTGCATGTGCATAAAGCTGATCGTGTGTATTTTTATTTTTTACATAATTATAGCGGGCTGCTCAAGCTGCGTGTTAAATCAATATTTGGACATTGGCTACTGATGTCCACATGACACTCACTAATGATGTCCAGTCTGTATCGACACATTGACTAATGATGTCCACGACACATTGACTAATGATGTCCACGACACATCGAGTAGATGTCCAGCCTACATCGATTTATGTCCACACGACATTGCCAAAAGTTGCCCACATTTCACTGACTAATGATGCCAACACAACGTTAACTACTGATGTTGCCCACCCTATATCAACAAATGCCCACACAACATTGACTAATGATGTCCACACGACATTGACTAATGATGTCAACACTACGTTGACTAATGATGCCCACACGACATTGACTAATGATGTCAACACCCTTGCTCAACAAATACTGAGCCAAAAAAAAAAATCTACTGCCGCCTCGGGCTAAAATTGATGACGTGCACAGAGCATGATCAAAACCAAATTTTTCCACCAAAATGTCCATCACTACACCAATTAATTTGACTTTTTTTAAAGACGGATGCCACCGGTTAAAAAATTTGACAGATAATGAGGACAAATTATTATCAGTCGTCAACTAACTAAGCGAGTGAAGAACACACAGACGCAGTGGTCGTGTTAAACACTTGTTTTCATTCGACTCGAAGTTTCCAACGATTGCGACATACGAGTCTACCTTCGGCCAAACCAATTTTTGTTGAGAGATTTTCTAAAAAGAGTTTTTAAAATCCCGGCCAAATCAATGTCGTCTGCCACACGTGTGGCGGTCACATTGTTAGATGTGTATCATCAAGACTGAGGTTTTGGATGGTATTGTTGGCCATATGTCTTAATCGAGCGGGGTCTAAACTTAATCTACGCCGGGCAAAAGTTAATCTTCCTAGGCATACAAATAAACAACTGGCTTATTGAGCATGAACTTGAAAGGGGCATATATATATATATATATATATATATATATATATATATATATATATATATATATATATATATATATATATATATATATATATATATATATCTGATCCAGCCTGACAGAACAAGACAAACTTACCAATCTTGAACGGCGTTGAACGACTCCTCGTTAGTGATGTCGTACATTAACAAAAACCCCATGGCGCCTCTGTAGTAGGCAGTGGTGATGGTTCGATATCGTTCTTGGCCCGCTGTGTCCTGAGGAAGGAACAGACACCGTTATCTTAAGAACCACAACGGCACTGGGGGTGGGGGAACAGACCGTTATTGTAAGAACCACAGCGGCCTTGGGGGGACGGGACTGTTCCAGTAACAAGCACATAGATAAGTCTATGTCGTCGACAAAGCGTTTCGTAGCTTTATTTAGCAGGCGTCGTTATGCTAACTCTTCTCTAATAGGTACCAGACCACGCCATAAAACTGACCCTCACTCTACCCTAACTTACGCGCCATAAAGGCAGAACAACCTCGCTCCAAAACTGTATTGCCTTGCCGGCGATCAAGCAAGAACTATATATCGCTATGTATGTACCTTTAAGAAGCAATGTGGTGCAGACTGACTTGCCCAACTAAAATGTCCCAACAGAATACTTTTAATTTCACACACCCCCACCTAGTCATCCGATTAAATATAAAACAGTCAACATCAACAAGAGCTCAAAGCATACGACGGGTATGCGGTTAGATTGTGGACTAGTGTTTGAAAATATACATATGTGTAGTCATCCAAGAGAAGGACATCACTACCACCAGTACAGCACTAAATGTAACAATCAATGCGAAAGTACTGTGTCATAAGAAATTCAATAAGTTACGTATCGACTTTTCTTCCACTTCAGAATTTAATTATTTATTTTTTAAACAAAAAAAAATGCAACAAAAGGTCATTGGCTTTTTTTTCCCGAACCACATTAGATGTCTTTAGTACGCGTAACTGTTGTTTTTTTTAAAACCTAGAATGAGACCAAGAATGAGACCTCTGTTATTTTAAAATCTTGGCAGTCGTAAGTGTAGGAACTCACGAAATGGGTTTACTTGGGCTAAGTGTAGGGTGTGTAAAAGTGTGGGGTGTGTGAAAGTGTGGGGTGTGTGAAAGTGTAGGGTGTGTAAAAGTGTAGGGTGTGTGAAAGTGTGGGGTGTTTGAACGTGTGGGGTGTGTGAAAGTGTGGGGTGTGTGAAAGTGTGGGGTGTGTGAAAGTGTGGGGTGTGTGAAAGTGTGGGGTGTGTGAAAGTGTGGGGTGTGTGAAAGTGTGGGGTGTGTGAAAGTGTGGGGTGTGTGAAAGTGTGGGGTGTTTGAACGTGTGGGGTGTGTGAAAGTGTGGGGTGTGTGAAAGTGTGGGGTGTGTAAAAGTGTAGGGTGTGTGAAAGTGTGGGGTGTGTGAAAGTGTGGGGTGTGTGAACGTGTGGGGTGTGTGAAAGTTTGGGGTGTGTGAAAGTGTGGGGTGTGTGAAAATGTGGGGTGTATGAAAGTCTAAGGTGTGTAAAAGTGTGGGGAAGGTATTGTGTAAGTCATCAGGTCGTGCGGTGTAAACACGAATCAATACAAAACGATCTGCAGAGGTCGAGACAGACATTATATGGGGTGGGGTGGGATAGGGGTGGAGTTGGGGATGTGGGGCGGGATGACGTATTGATTGGTCTGTAGAAGTGTATGGACTGAATTCTAATTATATATATATATATATATATATATATATATATATATATATATATATATATATATATATATATATATATATATATATATATATACACACACACAGACAGACAGACAGACAGACAGATAGATAGATAGATAGATAGATAGATAGATAGATAGATAGATAGATAGATAGATAGATAGATAGATAGATAGATTATATGTATGCGTGTGTATGTGTTGTGTATGTCTTGTGTATGGGTTGTGTGTTGTGTGTGTGTGTGTGCCCGCCCACCGAGCCATAAACACACGACCCCAGTACAATGTCACAATACAAAAAAGCGCATCTAGCCTTTCTGTCCTGCCATGATCTTTGACTTGTGCCAACTTCCGGTACAGCGAGGGGACCCGTTCACGTGACACATTAAACAGGGCCTATCAAAGGTCAATCTTTGGAGAATGTAATGTATCGCAATCTACTTGAACTTGGGCAATGCACACAGAATCAGAGGCGTAGCGAATGGGGGGGGGGGGGGGGGGGGGGGCATGGGGTACATATGTCCCCGGGCGCCGACCTCAGGGGGCGCCAAAATGGGTTGTAAAAACAAATTAAAATGTCATTTTAGCTTCATTTTTGCATTATAATAGTTTGAGGGGGGGGGTGCACATCGTAAGGTTTGACGGGGTGCGGGGTGCAAATCGAAAATTTGCTCCCGAGGGGGGCGCCAAAATGAAAGTTTGTCCCCGGGCGCCGGGAAGGGTCGCTACGCCTCTGCACAGAATCATCAAACTGCTATACGAGGTAGCAAGTAGAATCCACGAACTGCCCTACAAGGTAGCAAGTAGAATCCACAAGATGCCCTGCGAGGCCTCAAGTAGAATCCATGATATGTCCAATGAGACATACGCTCCCAACAAAAACATGTCCTGTCTATATATATCGACCACTTGAGGTTTTTCAAACACAAATCTGGGTTGAAATTAGATTGGAAGAGTAGAGAGAGGGGGACACTTCGTCTATATGTTTAAAAATAAAAGCACTATAAAAGGATCCCGATCGATGAAATATCGATTTTTTTCTTTTCCACAGAATCTCAGAGCTGGAACCTTGATTTCTGCCGCCATATTGTCTCCGACCCCCCCCCCCCCCTTTTCCAACACACCCTGGTGGAATTATAAAAGATGATGAATTTGTAGCACGCTAACATCCTGGCTCGGCTGTCCATTGCTTGACAGTCTGGTCAAATTAGAACTCTTTAGTAGGAAGGGGGGGGGGTACATTCGTCAGCTGGTGGGCGAGGCGAAGGGGAGGTAATGGAAGAGTTGAAGAGAGGAAAGAGGCAGGAGAGCAATGGATCTGCTATTGTCGTGCGGTCTACAGGCCTGCGATTGTATCAGCCACTCTAGCGAAAGGTAAACATTAGCTCGACGCCACTGCATCACTGTCAGCTGCAACAACAGCCACCTTACAACCCTCTACAAACACTCTCAACACAAACCCGACAAAACACAACAGCTCAAACCTGTACACAAACACACGTACACACTAACATGTACGGACACAGCTACTGGCCAGTGTACTCCCTGTGGCCGGAGATCAATGCTTCAAATATTTGAACACTATACGCGGCTATCGATTAGCCTCCCTTTCCCCACCGCCACTCCTTTAATGGGAATTAACTGTAGCGGAAAGACGTCATCAAGTTATTTTTAGCGAGACCCACTCACAAGCATGAATGGAGGTCCGGGGTGGGGCCGAGTGGAGGGGTGATGTTCTCACGCGAACACACATACAGCAATAGAAAGACATTTTATTTATTTATTGTTCCAGATTAAGAAATTACAAGGCGCTTTGCGTTGGTTGGGTTTTTTTTCAAGGTTCGACGTCTTTTACTGGGTGGGTCAACATATTGCCAAGTGTTTACACAGACTGACCAGCGGGCCAAAAGAAAGACCCAACGCGTTAACAAATTGACCAACGTATCCATATACTGACCAACGCATCAACTGACCACCGTGTCAACACACTGACCAACGTGTCCAGCTGAGCTGCGTGACACTCCCCAGAAAAAAAAATATTGTGCTGATCTCTTGGCTTATTACTGCTGACTAAGCTCAGCCAATCGATCTTCCACCCTTATCCAGAGACAGAAATTATATTTACGCTGTGTACATTTCTTGCTTGCTTTGTGAAATCCCTACAAAACTAACCAGCACAAAGTGCATCGTATTTCTAACGAGCCACGCCCACCTCACACATCCGCAAAGACAAACGACTCGGGTCAGTGTAACTACCGACAGTTAGGATTAACTACCGACAGTTAGGATTAACTGCCGGCAGTTTGAATTAACGGCCGATGCTCCGTTCTTTTATTCCCTGCTCTGACGTCACGACGCCGGCACTACTCCCACGACACGGGGCTATTTTTAGCCCCACGAGAAGATGGCGTCAATCAATACCCTGGCCGGCCGCAGGGGAATTGGATGCTATGTCACTTGAAAAGCTGGACATTAAGATTTCTAATTACTGCTGGCGGGGGAGGGGTGGGGGTGGGGTGGCAGAGAATTATGCCGGCCATAAATAGAATTATATTTTACTTTCTGGAGGTCTAAGCAGATAATATGAGGAAGGAAAGGGCTGGCGGTGGTGTGATAAATATGATGGAGGAAATCATCGCCAGGAATAACTGGCAGATTGAGACGAGGTAGGGGTGAGAGTGGGTGGGGTTGGGTTGTTGTATAACATTTACAGCTGATCGTTTGGGGTGGGGGTGTGAGTGGGGGGGGGGGTGTTTTATAACATTTACAGCTGGTCGTTTGGGGTGGGGTGGGGGGTTGTTGTATAACATTTACAGCTGGTCTTTTGGGGTGGGAGAGGGGGGGGGGAATAAACAAAAGGCCCTTGTGTTCTGAGGGACATTAGGATGAAGAGCTAACGATTAGTACAAGAATATACGCTAAAATATAACCGACACGACTGTAAAAAGAATTCGCTCCGGCTAGAAGCGCGTCATATTACTTCAGTTATTTGAATCGCCTCCAAAAATGGGAAAGAGAAGCTGAAATTAACGTCTCGCATGCAAGGGCAGTGACTCTTTTAAACAGGGAAGTTAACTCGATCCAGTAACAACTTAAAATAGATAACCTATTGTGACGTAATTAATGTCCCAAACTGAAACACATCTACTACAGTTTTTAAAGACTATTCGATTTCATTCCAATAATAGAAAAACTGTTAGAATATGTTTATGTGTCTCTTACAAACACACCCATGCAAGACTTTAAAAGACTCAAGGAATTAAATACTAGGTGGCGCTGGCCGATAGGAGTTCATCTAAGAAAGGCAAGTTGAAATGCCGCCTTTATCTTCCTAATAGAATAACAAATAAAACTGACAGACTTCTTTTAAAATAACGGATTTTCTTCACTAAAATGTGGCTGATTTTTTTTTCAACATATCTTCTTGGCCACAAGGTACAACGACGACATGAACAAATATGGCAGATATTCACAAGTTCACGTAAATAGTTCTCCAGTTTGCGTGCAATGAGGCAGATAT